ACTTCTACCGAGTCGACGCTCTGCCGGCTGCGACTTCTATAAAGTCGACTCTCTGCCGACTGCGACTTGTACGGAGCCTACGCTCTAATGCTGCCATGGTGATTGCCTATCGCACTGCCTCACTCACTCTTCAAACGAGTGAGATGAGCCAAAAGCAAATAAGTTAACAATTAAAATCGAACCAACTGTTTCGCACCCTAGAAATTTAGCATTTTTATGTGTATAATATATTATCATTAACAATTATAATGATGGTATTAGGAATAAATATTCTTTAAATATAAAACGCGAATGAAAAAATAATTGCATATCGAACAAAATTGTTTGAGCTGCAATAACATTTTAAGTAACTTGTTGCCTCGTCGGATATATCCTTTATACCCTGTTTACAAGGAAGCAAAACACTCGGACACAAGATAGCCAAACGGGACTTTGTGAAACGAAACGAACAATAAGAGAAAAAAAACGGACTTGAGGATCCGTTTTTCCGGATCGTGGTTCGTTTTGTTGTTGGAGACACAGTCCTTTTTTTTCTATTGCTTATTCGTGTTTTCACTTGCAGTTAAACAGTGAGCTAAGTGAGAAGTGAGCGGACTGCGCACTGCGCACGCCAAATTAAAAAAAAAAATGTTACATACATATATAAATGTTCTGTTTAGTTTTCAATAATTGAAATTATATATCAGGTGAGTTTTATGTAAAGATTTAAAAAAAGTTTACTTTCGTATCAATTCTGTCTTCTATTTTGAGTACATCTTCCCGTCCTCCCACTTCGTGTCTGCATGCAGCTATTGTGATACATCGATGGTGCGAAGTGTAAGAAAAGGCTTCGAGACCATAAGAAGTTCTACTCTGCACTCTTAGGTAATTATGTATTTTTTTTTAGATTTTGATATCAATTTATTTTCCAAATTTTCCTTTTCAGATGCAATAAGTCAAGTTGATGCAACGGAGCCGCTTGCCAACCGTTTAACTAAAAGCCTTCCTTGCGCAAAAAATTTGGAGGCGCAACATAAAAAAAGGAAAAGGGATGAAGACGTGTTAGAATGTGGTCCGAGCGTTTTTCAATACATTAATATTTAATTTTTAATGTTAATTATTATAATTATTATTATTGTATTATTATTTTTTAAAATTTATTTTGTATTATTATAAGAAATATTTTTAATTTGATTATTTGTATTATTTTATGTATAATTTTAATTTTATTATGTTAGTTTTTAAGAGGATATAATAAAAGTGAATGAATTGAAATATGAAATCCCTTATTTATGTTTTTTAATTAATTTATTATTGATGACACATCGATGAATTGTTGATGAAACATCGATGTTTCATCGATGTATCATTGATGTTTCATCGATGTATCATCGATGTTTCATCGATGTTTCATCGATGTTTCATCGATGTATCATCGATGTTTCATCGATGTATCATCGATGTTTCATCGATGTATCATCGATGTTTCATCGATGTATCATCGATGTTTCATCGATGTTTCATCGATGTATCATCAATGTTTCATCGATGTTTCATCAATGTTTCATCGATGTGTCATCAACAATACATCGATGAATTGATGATGAATTGTTGATGAAACATCGATGAATTGATGATGAAACATCGATGTTTCATCGATGTGTCATCAACAATACATCGATGAATTGATGATGAATCATCGATTTATTGTTGATGAATTTCTATTGATGACAGCCTAGGACATGCCCATGTTAAATTCATCAACAGTTTGTATGGGCTGTCATCGATGAATCATCAACAGCACCCCCTTCGCTGTTGATGAAACGTTGATGAATTACTGATGACAGGTACTGCAGGGTATGTTGATTGTGCGTGCCTCTGTGTGTGTGTGTGTGTGTGCTTTGGCGCTTCTCAAACGCACACACTAATACCCCCTCTACTCGCACTCTCCCAAATAGTCCGAAATTTTTGTGTAGCTTCATAGTTTTTTGTTTCTATTTCTTTTGCTTTTTTTCTTTATTTTGTTGATTTTTTTTTTCGAGTGTTAAACGGGCGTTCGCACTATCTGGCAGAGTCGTTGTGTGAAGAGAGGGGCATAGAAGAGGGGGACCTGCATGGGGGCTTTATATTTTCTACTCATTTGTTTCTATGCCTTTTTTCAGTGCGTTTGTTTGTGTACAAAACTTTTCTGTCTGACTTTTATGAATATATTTTTGATTGTCCTCTCTTTCTTACTGTTTGCCTCTCCATCTCTCTCTTTTGTCAACTCTTTCGCTTTTAAAATTTCGGTTTTGGCCGCTTTCTGTTTACGCCGCAAAATTTCTTTCACTTTGCGTACGTTTCTATCTGTTAAAAAAGAAAAAGAAATATAAAATACAACCAAAAAACATGAAGCAGAAAAGAAAACGCAAAGAAAGAAAGGCAAACAAACAGCAACTTGCAAAATGGCAAAAGGCAGTAGCGAAAAAGTGAAAATTTCAATAATAAAATAAAAGTTGATTTTGCGGAAGTCATAAACGCAAATTGCATGCCAAAAGCAACACTAGTGACCCCCCTTTGCCACGCTCCTGGCTAACAGCAGCTCCCTTAATTGCTCCCACACGCACACCACAAAAAGGGGGTTAGATCCTTGCAGGCGATTAAGATTTATGTTGGAAATAATACATCCTTCGTAAGCCAGCGGCAAAGCCTAATTGCATACGCTTCGGGAGGGTTCAAGGAACTCCCATTAAATATGTATTAATTTAGTTATGCCTTCCACTAAGGTTTTAAGTTTATTAAAGGAGGGGAAAATAAATTAAAGCCTCTTGACTACAATGTTAACTCTATTTTGATTGATTAAGTACTAAATGTTTATATATCCCTGCAATTGAATTATAGAATCGCATCTAAAATCCTTCACAACTAAGCCTAAAATTTGTATATTCTTTGAATAGATATTTATGGAAATATTTTGGGTACATTTTTTCACCAAATAAAAGTTTAAAATACTCATTACTAAGCCAAGAAAGTCTTAATTTTAATTTGGAAAGCTGTCCCATGTTAGGTTTTATTAGGTTAATAAATCTGCATACTCAAAATAGTTTTTAAAATTATACATATTTTTGTCAATTTGAAATTTCGAAAATTTTCTAAAAAAATAAATTTTTTCCGGATATAGCTAGATTCAGCTTTTGATGCTGATCAAGAATATATATACTTTATAGGGTCGGAAATGACTCCATCACATTATACAAGCTTCTGCAAGGCTATGTATAATAGATAAAAACATCAATGTTTTAAATTCTGTTTTACTAAAAGTGTTTTTTTACATTTATATGCTTTTTTTTCTTTCTTTAAATTTAATAATTCCTGTCTCTTTGAAGAATCTTAAATCCTTTTAAGGAAAACTAAATCATTATACAGCATAAATCACTGATACAAATTAATCATTACAAAGATATAGGTATGTTTTAATTACTTTTATTAACAATATTTTCTATGAAAGTTTCTTCTTTTTCTTTCGCAGCAATAAAAACTGCCAAAAATACAATCGAATCAATTGTGTATAACGTGCAATGAAAATCTACCCAATAACTGTAAAATACAATGAAGGAAGGCTATTAACTAATACCTGCAAAAAGTGTAATTCATACATCTCATGAACATATATATATATTTATTTATATAGCTTGTTGAAACTTTGTTGGCATTACAATATTTCGCATATATTTATTTTTACGACTGCCGCGCGAACTTTTATTCGCAAGTTTCTTTTTTCATTTTATTTATTTACTTTATTTTTATTGTGATCTTTTTAGTGTACTTTTTTATGATGGCTGTGTTACATATACGAATTGTATCTCGAAAGAAAGAAAGGTTCGTTAGCCATCTCTTTCCTGTTCTCTGATTGCCTTTTCAATTAAAAATTAGTTGAATTGTCAATGCAAAAAAGTGAAAAAGAGAAAAAAAAGAGCCACACACACTACTAACACACACACAAATGCAAACCGAGTGTGTTTCGTAATATTCAGCTTGGTCGCTGGTTGTTGTTATAGCGTCTTTCTTCATTTACGAATTTCATGGATTTCCCTTAAATAATTTTGGTTGCTGTCTTCTGCTGTTGTTGTTGTTGTTGTTGTTGAGAAACCCAAGTGACTTTCACTGCCAAGCCAACAAAATAACCAAAAAATATAACAAAGTAGAGGAAAAAACATATATACATATATAAAAAAAGAGCAGCAACTGACTGACTGACTGAGTGACTGAGTGACTCTGCTCTGCCACATAAAACCACAAACTTAACTGGATTTCATTAAATTTACACTTTATTTGCTGTATTTTTTTTTTTTTTTTTGTGCAATTGTTGCTTGTTTTTGGAGGTACGAAAGTTCACTTGAAGGGCTTATTTAACTTCAAGTTTTTGGTAGTTGAATAAGAAAAGATACTTCCTAAAGGATTCACTTTTTGATAGTAGGTTTTTGGTTAATTAACTTCTGCAAATGCAAATTATTTATGCAATACCTTTTGAAAGCGGAACTAACAACTATTTTTTTTTTGTTTATTATCAAACCCAGACTGTGGTTGTGGTTTCAGTATTTTATATTTGGAAATTTTCCATCGACCTTAATGATAATATGTAATAATACATATATGTAAGTCTAGGAAACTCCTGCTTTCCTTTTAATTTGACACGTTTTATTTAAAATTTAATACTTTTCCATCTTAAAAAAACCTTTTCAAATGATTATTAACTATTTTTTCTCAATTGGGAGACCGTTTGTTCAGAATTACATTTATTTAAAACCTTTTCAAATATTTTAAAGTATTTTTTTTACAGGATATAACAAAATACATTTTAAATTTAATCCAAGCTATATATAGATCAAAGTATCTAAGTTTCAGGATCATCTAAGAGCTCTTTTAATCAGAATTAAATTTGTTGCATCAAGAAAAGTACCTTTTTCCAAACCTTTTTTTCAACACTTTCTTTTATTGAATATTCCCTACTTAAAAGTACATTCAATTAGATTAAATTTTACCTTTAATGGAACCGCTGGAGTTATTTTGTCCCGCTGGCGATTGGACGTTGCTTTGACCGAGGTTGTTTGCGTGTGCTTCCAGTTTCGAAGTGACGCTGCTCCACATGTCAAACATACGTTGCGTATACATAATTATTTAATGAGAAAATGCGAAGCTTTGGTGACGTTTGTAACGTTTTGACGATGACGATGTCGCTGCAGTTGATTGGCCAAATAGTTATATATCTATATCTATATATATATATGCACAACTTGGTATCAGTTGTTGCAATCGCTAACACCGTACGCACACACAAGCACACACACCATGCCGCGGGGCATACGAGGCGTATGCGCAATCTGGCCGCACTTTGCAGTCGAATGAATTTGAATTTCGCTTGCTTTTTATTTGTAGTTTTAGTTTTAATTTAACTTGGTTTGTTTTGTAAATATGTAAAACGTTGTATACAGTATTTAATAGAGTGTTATATATATATATATATATTTATGTGTGTATATAGCTTTTATATAGCTGCCCTTTTGCTTGTTGTTGATTAACCAATCTTTCGTATTGCACTTGGTCTTTTTATTATTTATTTATTTATTTATTTATTGATTTATTTTTGTTGTGGCTGCTGTGTATTTAGCTTGCTTCTCGTGTCCATATATAGGTTTTTTATGAATGAATTTTCCGCGCTTTTCGCATTTAAAGTGTGAATCAAGAACTATCACAGTGTGTGTGGGTGTTTTTTTTTTATTTACTTTTGTGAGACGAGGGAGGCGGTGTGTGTGTGTGTGTAAGAGAGAGGGGGGCTTGCCAATCGATATATATATATATGTATATATTTAATTTGTTTGTATATTGCTATATATATATATGTATATATATATATGTATATAATGTATATATAATGATCTAACGTTGTCAGGCCTGTAGGTACTAAATTGTTGATGTTGTTGGATCTGATGTTTTTATATTGTTGCTGCTGCTTAATTATTTATATCCTTTAATAAGACACTTGTTCGCGTATGTATATTATTATTAATTGTTTTTTGTTTTTTATTATTTTTGTTACGAGTTATTTAAAGCAATTTTCTATGTGTGTTTGATAATAATATCTAAATTTACAATCAAGCAACTCAACCCTTTTGCAATATGTGCAGATTGTTGTTGCTGTTGTTGTTATTATTGTTGTTATTGCTATTGTAGTTGTTGGTGTTTGAATTTTTGTTGTTGTTGTTGTTGTTGGTTTTGGTTGCTTTGGGCAATTGTTGTTGCTGCTGCTGCTGCTGATGTTTTATCACTTTCACTGCGTTATTATTGCTGCTTCTTCGGTTGCTGTGATTTTTATTGTGTTGCTTGTTGCTGCTGCTTGTTGGTGTTTTTGTTGTTGTTTCCTTACTGTTGTTGTTGTTATTGGTGTTGTTGCTATGCTCATTGTTTTGTCGATTTCTCTGTTTTGCTTGATTCCAAATCAAAATTTCCAAAAATACGAAAATTTCACGACAATTAATTCCGGAAGACATTTAGGCGCAATCTGTTTCTCATCGATTCGAACTGTCGCTGCCTTGGAAACGTTCATCTGTTTTATATTTTTTTGTATATATATATATATATTTATATATTTTAATCGGTCCTCAGCTTGAACACTTTGATGTACAAAATGGTTTGGCCAGTTATGTAAATACTTTTGCTACGCACTGTCAGCCATGGCCAAATCATGGCATTCAGCATATTGCACGGGAATGATGTCTGCGGATGGGAAATTTGTTGTTTGTTGTTTTTTGTTAAAAAATCGCATCATCTTTCGATAGTTCGATAACGAAAGATCGAAAGATGGCTGAGTTACAGAGTATGCGTGTGTGCGCCGCTAATTGATTTATAATAAACAATTATTGAACCATACTATTAAAAATATCATTTGTATCTTAGTTATATCAAGATAAAAGTAATAGTTTTGGTTTCTTTTTACAATTTATTGAGAACAAAATATTACTTATTATTCGGAACACTCATTGCAACAAGGAAAACACATTTGTTCAGGATATAACTATTTACTTTGATTCATGATTAATGACTGATTAATTGATTAATGATATCTCCTACATTTCAGGTGCAAACAAATTCATATTTTATTGGAATAAGGTTCCAAATATATTTATTAATCAATACATTTAAATATTACAATTATTAACATACTTTCTATCTATCTATCTATCTATCTATCTATCATATCTATTATCTATCTATCTATCTATCTATCTATCCATCTATCTATCTATCTATCTATCTATCTATTCTATCTATCTATCTATCTATCTATCTATCTATCTATCTATCTATCTATCTATCTATCTTCTATCTATCTATCTATCTATCTATCTATCTATCTATCTATCTATCTATCTATCTATCTATCTATCTATCTATCTATCTATCTATCTAATCTATCTATCTATCTATCTATCTATCTATCTATCTATCTATCTATCTATATCTATCTATCTATCTATCTATCTATCTATCTATCTATCTATCTATCTATCTATCTATCTATATCTATCTATCTATCTATCTATCTATCTATCTATCTATCTATCTATCTATCTATCTATCTATCTATCTATCTATCTATCTATCTATCTATCTATCTATCTATCTATCTATCTATCTATCTATCTATCTATCTATCTATCTATCTATCTATCTATCTATCTATCTATCTATCTATCTATCTATCTATCTATCTATCTATCTATCTATCTTTTTTTTTTTTTTTTTTTTTTTTTTTTTTTTTTTTTTTTTTTTTTTTTTTTTTTATCTATCTATCTATCTATCTTTTTATCTATCTATCTATCTATCTATTATCTATCTATCTATCTATCTATCTTATCTATCTATCTATCTATCTATTATCTATCTATCTATCTATCTATCTATCTATCTATTTATCAATCTATCTATCTATCTATCTATCTATCTATCATATCTATCTAAGCTATCTAAGCTATCTATCTATCTATCTACAAAATAAACCTTAAGATATTCTTGCTGGTATCCCTAACAGGAGAAGAAATTGGAATATTCTGATATCAATTGCTGTCTTCGTAAAACCCACTTTAAAATAATATTTCTCTATGATTTACAACCAAAAAGGACATGACAGTTTCCCAATGATCCTACATTTTCCTGTGTGTGCAACTAACGCAATTCAGGGAACTGTGCCGAACCCTCAAACCCTCGAAAAAAAAAGAAAACCCCGAGTAAAGCCTGTTAGCTCTCCCTTTTTTCGGTTGGCAACTCCCTTTTGCGGGGCGATGATTATATGGACATGAACATGAAAAATCGATAAAGAAATGGGATTTAAGGGTGCCCAGACACAGACGGGGCGAGGAAATTGTGGGGGGGCGGGCTTCGTAGGGGAAAAACTCTGAAATGCAGCGCATAAATCTCGTCGCCAAGCATTTGTGGGTGTGTTTGCCAGTGTGTGCAAGTGTGTGTGTGTGTGTGGGTAAACATAGAAAAAAGTTCTATGACCCAAAGCTCAAACACACAAACACACACACACACTAACGAGCCGGCAAACCCAATGAATATAAAAACATTTTTACTTTTCCCTCTCTTCTTCTCCCTCTCTCTCTCTCTTTCTCCGCCTCACCCACTCTCTTCTCCAACAGGGGGGCTAGTGTAATCACTTTGTTGGGCGGCTTTTCGGGGGTGGCTTTTGGGTGGCCATGCGGAAGCCGCTGGCGCAGACATATAGAATACGTCACCAAAGCGACGGCAACAACACTGAAATTGTGCCAGCTCAGTGGCAGAAAGAGATGGGGCGACAGAGAGAGCGAGAGAAAGAGCAGAGAAATTTACATATAGAAAGAAAATGCTGAAAAGAAAATGAAAATGAATAGCCAGAGCCCCACAGAGTGTGCTGTGGAAATGTGAAATTCTCTCTCTCGTTCTCTCTTCTCGCAGCGCCAACGAACTTACTAACGGTACCCCAAAGCTAACGAGCCGGTCAAGCCGATGATGAAGCAAAGAGAAAGAGTGCCAGGGGGTGAGAGAGAGAGAGAGAGAGAAAGGCAGGCGCTCGATAGATATAGGAGGAGGGGGGAGTGGGAGGCAGAAGCCGAAGGCGGTTACAGTTACAACAGCAACAGAGCGACAGCAAAGCAGACGACAAAGTTTACAAGGCAGCAGCGATGTTGGCATCGCTGCCGGCGTCGCTGCTGTGCTGTTGCTGTTGTTGTTGCCGTCGCAGTACGTTGACGCCGACGAAAAAGACCAATGACCTATGGAATGGGTGGGCTTCTGCCCCGCCGATGTCCCCAGTTTTCCGCCAGCGACTTCTGCTTATGCCGTTTTCCGCTTTCCACACGGCAAGAAAATGTCACCGTTTTTCTTTTACTGTTTGTCCTGAGATTCTTTTATATTGGAATCCTTGCATCCTGAATATAATCTTTATAAAACCTTAAAATCAGACATTCCTATAAAAATGTTTTTTCAATCTTAAATAAAATCATGCTTAATTCATATTAATTTCATAAATATTATATTAAACATTTAAATCCAACCCTATAAAATGTCGATAAATAATAATAAGTCCTAAAATAATGTTTTTTTCTATCGCAAAATCATAAGAACTTCAAAATGCTTTCGTTTTTAGTCTCTAAATCCTAACAGTCATGTTTTTTTCGGTCTTAAAATCATAAAAATCCCATAGTTTTCACTATCAAAATTCTAACAATATATATCTTTTATAATTATCTAATATTTATAGCCTTTTATCGATAATTTTCTTTCCATAAAAATCTCAAGGATCCTTTAAAATTGTTCCTTTGTATTCAAACCCTTCGATTTTCCTTCATAATACCTAATTTTTAATTAATTTTTCTAGCAGTCAGATTCTGCTAATAATTAATTAATTAAAAAAAAGAGACATTTGTCATCTCTTGTTTCTTTGCGTGCATCCTATCGTTGTTGTTGCTGCTGGGGTGGCACACTTATGGGCGACACATGGAGTATGTGCTGTGTCTGTGCCCCGTGCGCCTGTGTGTGCTTAGCAATGTTGTTCCACTAACGGTAATGCAAACAGTCGACTAAAAAGGCCGGAGAGGTGCAGAGGTGAAGAGATGGAGCTGGAGGTGGAGGTGGGGCATCAGAAGGCTAAGAAGGCTGGGAAGGAGGAGGCACCAGAGTGGGAGCCAAGTGGGTGGTGGCCACACGGCGACGTCCAACGACCGACTTTGCTCTGCTCTGAACTCGCCTGAACTGAAACTGAACCGTACTGCGGAGAGAAGTCGGTGCAACTACCGCCTCTAACTGCTTCTAACGACAACAATAACAATTGTTGATAATCATAAGTTGCCACAATGGACGCAGACACAAAACTGCTAGCTGGCTAGTTTACTTGCAAGCTATATGCAACAAAATGGAAGGGGGGAGGGGTGGAGACTATGGACAAGAAAAGGGCATAGCATCGCATCTCGTGCGGCTTTGTTGCCGCAGATTCGGGCTCCTAAGATCTCTCTTCCACAGAACGGCAAAAGACAATGGACCACGCCGAAAGCAGAAACAGATGCAGCGCCGCCGGATACGGGGATATACAAAACTACAGGGAACAAAACTACGATGAAAAATTGCGAAAATCTCTCAACTGACAGTTGGCAATAGTTGCCCCCTAAAAAGGGGTTGGTAATTGGGGGAAACTCATTCCCAAGTATCTAAAAAAAACCACAGAACCCAGACAATAGAGGAATTTAATGATCTAACAGCAGTTTGTGTTGGGTCCTTAAATATATACCTCAAAACTGTATATTTTGATAATATTTTGTATAACTGGTAGAATATTCAACCTGTTTAATCGTATGAAAGTATCTTTTTTAAAAACTTTAAGCAAGTTCCTATCTGTAAATTATAAGATTCAATTACAAGATTTGAATAGGTTAATATTAAAAATAAATTTAATAAGTTCTACAAAAAGTTGCATAGAAATTGTGATTCCTTGAATAATTTTCAATTGGCATTTAAAAAAAACCATTTAAAACATTTGAAATTTCTTTGATTAAAGCTAAATATTTCCTATTCAAATTGTCTTAAAAACTCTCTTTTAGAATTAAAATTTAACCTAAAGAATTCAATAAGAGCCTCATAGTTCTTTATAATCAATTTTTAAGCAATTTTAAAACTACGAAACTAGACTTTAAATCAAAGTGCCAAAGTCTAACTATAAAGCAAAATGTACACGTGTCCTTAATAAACTCTAAATATCCCCGTTAGCTAATCCCAAACGATGCCATAAATTTCCCTGAAACAATCTCATTAAATCCCTGATCGTGTGATATATCCATAAGTTGGTGGTTATAGCTATCCAATTAGTGGCAACAAATTGATTATTCCAATAAATTATCCAATTTGCGGGCGCTGTGTGTTTCCATGTTGCGATGATTTTTTCCTTTTTTTTTGTTTTTGTTAATATTATTTATCCTTTTGGCACACACACACATGTATATATATTTATATTAACCGATCGTACACATACACAGAGAGATTGGCGTTGCACAATCGTGGGGGAGGCTGTGTGGGAGGAGGAGAAGGGTAGCTGTATTTTGCATTCCCTTAAATTTTTGT